GGACGATAGTCCATCACAGGTTACTCCAAGGAATTTGCTGGTACCCATTGATACAGCTGGGTAGACTCCTATGCAGTAGCCTGAGTCCCCCAGAAATTAGCACCATCTCCCACATTCCAGGAAGAGCAAAGAAAAAATATCCCCTAAACTAGCTCCTGCAAATTCAGAATGTTACATGTTTTTACTATCAATTGTCTCCCTTATATCAGCAGGCAATGATTATCCCTATGGGAAGCTGTTTGGGGCAATGGGAACTGTTTAGTTTCCCAACCTTGAGGTCGCAGTTTCAACCCCTCACTATGCATTTCACTTGTGTTCTTGAGCAAAGGCACTTTATCTGCATTGCTTCTCTCCACCCAGGAGTATAAATTGGTACCTGGTGGGGTTGCCTGCTCCTGCGCTGATTACCCACCATTCAATTAAATTTTCTTAAATAACAATTTCTACTAACTTGTTTGATGTAGCCCTCTGCATTTTTTTCTTCGTCTGGAAGTGGTTTGCGTCCTTTGCTATGTTTCCATTTCATAATCCATTCGCATAACGCTACAAGCTCCCCGGTTGAAGCATCCATACCAACATAAACAGTGCTTCCACTATTTCCCTGACCTAAAGAAACAAACAGAAAATGTATTAATTTTCTATTTTTTACTTCAAATTAAATTTAGTATGAAGAAAAACAAACCAACAAGGATATGTAGTTATAAAGAATTTAAATAAAATTTAAAAACATATATATGTACTGTTTCTCTAATAATAATAAAGTATTTTGTTTATATTCCACCCCTTTCAATGAAATTGTTCAGAGGTGCATCACAACGAAATCATTAAAATATGCTAAAATTACAATCATTACATTAATTACAATTAAAATACAGAGAAAACAATTAAAATTCATAGAAAAAGCACATTTACAATTTTACAATAAAATTTGTCAAAAAAATACATCAGACCACAAACATTTCACAAGTATTTCATCACAACACTAAAGGCTTGTGTGAATAAAAATGTTTTAAGTTTGATTATCAGGATTAAAGTAATATTTGACATTTTGTCTATATAATAGTATAAAATAGAGGATTCTATTATTCCATCATTAAGTGTGATAATATATATAAACAAAACATGGTTGCCATTTCAGCAGGTCAGTAATCAGATTGATAAATGCTTTATTTTTATTGAGAGATTTTCTACAGTACAATAATGTATTACTTGAAGGGCAATGCCTGTCCGCCTTACCTAAACAAGCTCCTCTGTGAATGACCCTGTCTGTCTTGGCGCTGAACTTTGTGACGACTACTGACCCATCACTTGTGCGTTTCGATGCTGAAGACTTGTTTTGACCATTATTCTTTAACTCCTTGCTAATGCTTGAGTTTCTATAAACAAAAATATACACTGCTATTAGCATAATAATTTTTTTTTTTATGAGAGGATGCAGGGCAAAGGGTACCGTAATGCAAGGCCCTCCAAAGAAGGAGCCTGATCGTATGTGCCTAAAACAAAGCCAAGGGCCGTAGCCTACTTGCATTTAAGGCTAAAACATTTTTGCTGCCCATCAAACAATATACTGTAGGTAGAACAAGAGAGTATAAACAGTACAATTGTTAGGAGTGTGGACAAATAATATGCCTATACGCAGCTACTGGAGGTCAACTACTGTCGTTTGTATGCTTTTTATTACACTGTACTGCACCACGCACGGTTTGTTTGCCTGTTTATTGTTTTTCCACATAATACAGTATTTTTGTAGAGGGCGGTAGATTTACATCTTTTTCTTTATCATCTCACTATTGCAGTGGGTGGACTTTCTGTAAATTTAATCCTTGCTGGAAGTGGACAACATGAGGATTGAACTTCCAATCACAAGGATGAAAACCTGACTGCAATTGCTGTGCCAATTGCCTCCCTCAATTATCCTCATGTATACTTATTTGAATTTCAGTCGATTCTATCTAAGTGATCAGTTTCGGTGACAAATAAAATGCTGATACACATCTATACTGGTGACAGCACCAGTCATCAATCATCTGATCAGAATCTCCTAATCAGGTTTGGTGACGGCATCATGAATGGTAATGTCAACAAAGCAACATATAACATTAATGGTACTGACATTATTTACGTCCGTAGTTACAAATATCTTGGTGTTACTGTGCCCGATAATTTTGATTGGGGACTACATGTCTCTAAAACTGCTTCTAAAGCATCTAGAACTTTGGGTATTGTTCTCAGGCTTATCCGTCATCGGAACCCTGAAATTATCCTTAAGCTCTACAACTCTCTTGTCCGACCTACTATTGAATATGGAATTCCTGCTTGGGTTCCATATAAGATAGGTCATATAAAAGATCTTGAAAGTATACAACGCAGAATGACTAGATCATGCTTTGCTCACAACATCCCATATCCTCAACGTCTTGTTAATCTTGGAATCGTGCCCCTTCAACAACGTATTTATTATCTTTGTATCTGTTTCATTGCAAAATGTCTGTATCGAAAATATTCTATAAACATATCAAATAATATTGAAATCAATTGTCGTCATTTAGATCACTTGAAGTTTACTCATCGGTATAGTCGCACTGATGCCTATAAATTTAGTGTGTTTAATTTATTTCCGAGAATATGGGATGTTGTGCCTTCACATATTCGCGACAGTTTGTCGATTGGCCTTTCTCAATTTCTTCGTCCTTTAAAGGATCACTTCAAAAAATAAAATTTGTTGTGTAAGGGTTCCAATGGCGGACAATCTTGACTTTCTTGATTTTTAATAATTTTAAATTTCTCTTTTTTCTGTGCTACTGCCATCGCTGCTACTTATTTTGCTGTCGCTGTTTGCTGGTATCATTTATTGTTATTCTCATGGAGTTTCTGGGAATATCCAAGTGTTTTTTTCTAGTGACTCCATGAGAGTAACAGTATATTGTTTCTTGCGTGCTGCGTTGTTCTGCGCTGCGCTGTGCCTTTCCGTTTTTAATCGCTTTTACTTCCAGAGAACAGATATTCATTTATATATTTTATGTATCCTTAAATCAGTGGAGAAACTTTATACAGCTTTAGTTTGCTTTTTGTTTATCCTGTCTCTGATTTTTGGTATTGTTATTTCTGTATGTTTTGTTTTCTGTTTGACAAAATAAATGAAATGAAATGAAAAGTGATACTTATCAGATCTAGTAGGTAGAATTGGGTGTGAATTAAAGAAATTTCATCTTGAAGTACATAAAAATATTTAGTCTTAGTGTACAATTTAAAGTTCTGTAATACCGTGTTCTGCCTTTGTTACTTTTTCCATCATCTCCTGGATCTGGCTGATGTCTCCTCTTGACAGGAGAGTTATTAGAACTTGAACTTTGACCTTCACCATCCTGTTCTGAATCCTTTACACTCTCTTGCTATATTAAAAAGGAAAACAAATATAATACATAAAATTGTGTTGAATTTGAGAGCAAAATAGATACTGAATAATGTATTTAGATCTAGACAAAGAAAATAAATCGATATATCTTCAAATTCTTTAACACGTTGACTGCCAGTCCTTTTTTTTAGGTCCCTTTCCATGTGCCAAAACAAGTTTACATGTACAAACATACTTTTTTGAAATTCTATTTAGTCATGTATCAAAAAATGATGTGTAAATAAATAAATTGGCGGGAAAAAATTAGGGGACAAGTAAACTCGTTGCCGGCACTGGGACAGCATTTTTTATTGCCTCTGCCAAGTGCGAGTTTTCTTGTCTGCTTTTTGCATGGGTTGCAATATGTTCAGAGGGCGCCCCAACTCATGCAATCGAGTGTACTGCTGGCAAGATAACACAACAAACATACATCCATTACTTGAATGTTTGAATTTGTTTTAAAAAAATGTTTTGAATCGTCTAGGTGTATCTTTCCCAAACTACCAGCCGTTAAGTCTGTGGTTCTACAGTGTATAACAAAGAAGTAATAAACGCTAGAATGTTAACCTTGATTTTCAAGAGTATAGTCTTCCCTAGCACCCTCAACAACACCATGTGGGACAAGTATATTTTTTTTTAAAGTTTTTTTTAAATTTGCTTGTCAAATAACAGATTGGCTATTTTTAAACTTTCCTTGTAACTTTACCTGATTCTGATTGGCTATTTCCTTTTTCTTTCTCTCCTCCTTTATAGCTGCTTGTAAGTCTTGTCTTCTTTGTAATTCTTTGTCGATGTCTTTCCTCTATGAAAAATCCCAAAACATTGACAATCAAAATTTAATAATTTAATAACTTTAAGAACATTTTCATTAAAAGTTACATTAAATTTTCCTGTTTGTTGTATCTTATAACTGGGAATATGAAAAGGGGAAAGATTGGATAGGCCCTGCTGGAATCTATGGCAGTCACAGTGTATCGCTAGTACTCACAGACAAAAAACTAACTCTAGAAGAGTTAGTACTTGGGTTGTCAGTGCAACAACAACAGAGGATCCTATTCTCCCACGACTCGCAGAAAGGACCCACTCTGGTCTAGTCTAGGCAAGATGACAATGGTGATACAAGTCACTTGTATACCTTGTGGTGGTGGTAGAACTGGTGTTACCCAGGGACGCGACAAGGATGCTTCCACCATGACCCCAATTGCTTAGACCGCATGCTGTCATATCTAATCTTAATTAATGTTCACCTCTTTCTCTTTTAATTTTCTTTGGTATTCAACTTTTTTCTGCTGTTCTTGTGCTAATTTTTCTTCTTTCTTTTTCTGAGCTGACACCATAGCATCATAGAACGATTCATGTTGCGGAACATTGTGCGTGTGAAGGAACTCAGTTACAATTTGCGAAAGCTCCAAAATCATCACCTAAAATGGCATGAGCAAATTAAACAAATTATAACAAAAACATAAATTCATGGTAGTATAGAGTATCACATTGGTTGCAAGTTCCACTGCTCTGTTACCTAGCAACTACCAACCAAGTGGTCATTACTATTGACTGCTTCCACAGCTAAGCGCATAAAAACCTATGTATTTTGCGCTTTACAAATCCAAATTATTATTATTATTAAAGCCACAGTTTTCAACTGATGAACCTTATAATTTCCATTTAAAAACTTCATGAAAACTTACCATAAGTAAGTTATATTATGTGTATTTAATTAATATACTAAGTTCACAACAGTTCAATACAGATACAATATTACAAAGGAACAGCTAGAGTATGGCGGCTGTATGATGCCCTCAGTCGTAACTTGTATAGAAATGCTCAGGAACATCATAAGGGTGTCACATGGTGCTGTGACATCACCAACATTAGTACTCTATTGACACCTCAAGAATTGTCATATTTGAGAACAACACAACTTGGAATTTTAAAATTAAATTGAAATATTCTTTATTTGATTATTTCGCAGTTTCAACTGAATTGCATTGATTAAAATATACATCAACAATCTAAATACAATGAACAATCAAACCACGTTCAATAAAATATACACTAAAAAAATATGTATAAATACAATAAACAATTAAACATCATTACATAAAAAATATTATTAGAACATAAGTTAAATTAATAAGAATAATAAAATATATTAAAGCTGTATTTGTCCCTTGCTAATGGCAAAAAATCATAAAAAAATAAGTTTGAAATAAACTTGCTCATTTTGCAATAACATACAAATTATTAACTTGTGCATAGAAATTATTGAATTTAAAAAATGTGTACCCTGATTTTTAAACCAACAAATTATAATAAAAAAAACTTTCAGTGAGTGAAAGCGTTTCTATCAATTTTCGCTGGAAACTGATGGGTTGACATTTTTTTAAAACACTAATTTCTATGTTCAAGTTGATAACTTTTATGTTACTTCAAAAATGGGCAAGTTAATTTCAAAAAATATTTTTATGATTTTTTTTTATATTTAGCATTGGACAATACATCTTTAATACAAGTAAATACTGTAAATATAAATTGTAAGTAAATTCTTTATTGTTTTAATCTTACCTCTCCAATTAGTTCTTTGGCTTTTGTTAACACATCTTTCTTTAGCGTTTTTAATTTCTCATTTGATATTCCTTTCGGATTTTCAAAATTAATTTCAGGTAATCTATGAAAATTAATAAACTATTAACTTTTTTATATATATTCGACACATCAACATTTTAATAGCAGGTAAAAAAAAGAATTGAATTGAATTTAAATAAAAAATAACACTGGTTCTTATTTTTTAATCAACGTTTGGCCAGTTATTACTTTGATATTTGAGATTGTCTTGTTTGCATTATTAGGCAGTAAGCGAAGTAGTTGAACTGCATGGCAACAAGGGCACCGCACTCTGCTTAAAAAGTTATCATCTGCACAGGATTTGAGTCCCAAGTCTTCTTGGATAAGAACTCTTGCTCATTAGGCCCAATGCATAAAGAACCCAGAACATCTATCAAGAACAGTAGATTAATCTAGTGTTCTAGAGCACCAGGTCCTGCCGTTGTGGACAGAAGGAAGAGTACCTACGGTCGCTACAGACACAAAGTGACCCTTTTAGGGAAAACATTTTAAATATATCCATAGATGCCTATAAGAAATTCAGAAATAAAGCTGCAAGTCACGGGTTATTTACTACCTGATAAACACAATTTAACAATTTAGTTAAAATCTATATACATTACCATATAATAATAAAATCAAACAGTAAAGAAAAATAGAGAAAAGACTTACATTTGTGGATAATCAGGGGGGCACTGTATGTGCATATCAACCATAACATGTACGTCTGCATTTTCATGCGTGCTTTTCTGTGGCTTCAGATGTAATTTAAAATCAGGAGGACGATACACCTAAAAAAAGTAAACAATTTAGAAGAAATCTGAAATCTTCCGCGAGTCAGGAGAGCCTCCTAGAAATCGGCACCACCTCCCACACTCGAACAAGCAAACATCTTCTGGAAACTAACTGATCTTCTGTAATTCATGATGATTGCATGTTTTTAATAAAGCTTTCAAAATTCAATTTTTTGGCAGTGTTTCTTTAACAGTAGTTAAATTAAGGCAATGGCTATTGTTACACCAGTCTTCAACCAATTCTTAATTCTGATCTAAACCAGACCATAAATACAATTATAACACTCAATTTTGATTCTTCTTCTCTAGTCACTACGTAGCTAGTGTGTATGATCTTGCGTAGTGTAGTAAAAGGATTCGCAGGTAGGACAATGTACCTGAGATGGGCCGCGACGTAAACTATCCTTCTGTGGCCGGACAGGCAGCTGAAATGGACCAGTACACCAGGGTAACCGTCTACTCATCTCGAAGGATGTACTGAGTTCTTCAGAGTGCACACGATCCAATAGTGTACACTGAACCTATGGTTTAGAGTCCTTATCCGAGAAGATTTGTTTCACCACCAAAAACACAGGCGACCATGCCGTTCGAACCAGTGCCGATATTGTTAGGCAATTTTCGATTTTCATGTCAACATAGTCGACGCCTTGACATGATGTCATTTTCAAACACTGCACATGCGCGATCGTCAACCCCTCACTCACCCACCAGATTTGAGAACGCATTCACCCTGAAATATCCAAAGAGGATCGCTTCTCGGACGCTTTGAAGATTCGCCATGATGGTAAGGCATGATCCTTGCTCAAAAAGTCATCATGTTGACTCTTCGCCAACTGAAATCGAAACTGATTTCAGCGGTGGATCACCATGAGCAGTGAACACGTTGTAGGTCGCTTGCAGTCGACGTGAACGTGCTCGTTGTTCACTCCATCGAAAAGTCCCTAGTATGGCTGTACGTCACGGTTCCCTTGTTAGCTAGTTACGAAGCCTATAGGGGGCGCTGTTCATCAGCGATACAAACATTGTGATAGAAAATAGTGCCCCGACGGAGAAAGGATACCCTATGTATGTTTTGAGTATTTTGCGGAAGAATATCACAATTTGTCCAAATTACTTCCAGACAACTCTTCAGAAATAAATTCCCAACCTAGCAATGGGTTTTTCAAGCGTGTGCTTCGATTCAGTAGAAGTTTTTTGTTTACAACAAATGTTTCGTCATTTTTTAAGAACAAAAGGAAACCTTCGCTAGTTTTTTAGTTAACATGTTTGTTTTATTCAGGTTTTAATATATAAAGGTAGGCAAGTTAAAAATAATATATTTGTAGCGCCTAATTAAAATATATGGTCCAAATTATGATGTATTCTATTGTACTGGAGCTAGGCTTCGCTCGTACGGGTTGAGGGCGCATTTGAGAATTTTACCGCGGCTACACGGGGGTGGGGTAAACAATGTTTTTCCTGCTGGCTACAGTGGTGTCTGAGCCTTATAATTAGGCTTAGATTCGGAGATTTCAATGCAATATATTTTACGTAGAATCTATCATCAGTTGATAATAATTATGAAATCTAAAATAATTACATAACAAATTATAATCATTTGTATCGTTTTAGATGAATAATCGGAGTTAAAAAGCTTCTTTTTAAACACATAATTATACTGTAAGGGACATGTTTCTTGTATAATAAAAATAAAAGGAATTAACTCCAGCAAAAAACGTACTTAATATTGTAATATCTCCGCTAATACTGGTCCGATTTACATAATTTGTTTTAAAATGCTTCATTTAGTTATGTCTTTCTTTTAAAAATAATTTTAAAATAATGTGAGACATTTCTAATTTTTATGTTTCTAGCTACCCTTGTCTTAACCACTGGGCCAATCGACTTTTTGATTTAAAACTGGTGTAACAATGTCAATAGCTACTGCTGTCATACTTTTACTAAAAAATGAAATTTCAAATTTCTTGAGTGTTAATTAAATGATTTTCAGGTAATTAATTAAAAGCCTTCTAGCACACAAAACATCATTGGTAAGGAACAGACTTTAGGCATCTCCCTCCGTCATTCATACATGGGCTTAGGCCTAGGCTAAACTATCTAACTAGGCCTAGTAGAGGCCTACCTTCCACGCATCGGACACGCGACAGTCTTCGAAGTCATCATTGAACATAGCCTGCAAGAGCTGTAGCTCATTTTCTTGCCTGTCCTGAAACGATTCTTTGTCCTCCATGTCATGAGATGCCTAGATATAAGCTAGGAAGTTCGGGTATAGAGGAGAGCATTGTTAAGCCACTTTTTCTTTTAAAAAGTCTTGAGTGTCTTCTTGCAAATAAAACTTTTATCAGGCTTTGTTTTCTTCCTGTTGACCTTTCACAAAATTGACCTTTCTGAAACCGAGGTCAGGTCACTGGTCAGATACGTAGTCAATTCTTAAGTTGAATTTAGAATTAGTTTGATATATTCCGTACATAATAATCAAATAAAGACATAAAAAAATATTTTCTTGTAAATAAAATTACTCTTGTAGCAACTAATGCATTAAAATTAAGCAATTAATCTAAATTTAAATTTGTTTAACAAAAAGTTTGATGAGTGTTCTACTCAAAACAAAACATGGCGACTTCCATGGAGGACCAATCAAGTCATATAAATGAAAAACCTATGTCTAAAATAGACGAAAATGAGTCGTTGTTAAGGAAAAGACTCCCGCAAAAGTTACCGAAACGTAAAAATGACATATATGTCAACACTAAAACTAATTTTAATGGTCAACTTCAACGATGTAAGAAAATACTTGACTCAGGTTGTGACGAAGTCACTATCCACGGGCTTGGAGCTGCTGTCAACAGGGCAATCAATCTAGCCCTGCGTATCCAGGAAATGTCGCATGGGTTTCTAGAATTAGCTGTGAATACTTCTACCGTTGATTTAGTTGATGATCTTGATGGAGACGGCGAAAAAACGACTCAAGAAAGAAACAATTCTGCTGTTCATATTAAAATTTACCGGTCATCTACAGCGACATGAATAAACAATTAACTTGTGGTTATAATCGTCAAAACTTAGGCCCATGAACAATGAGATGTTTTCGACATAATATAAATCTTTCATTCATCTTTTTTGATAGTTTAAAATACCTGTGTCTGGGCAACTCATCACATTGATATCATTTGATGACGAAAATTAGAGGACATAACAAACTGTAAAGTAATTCTTTCTTGGAACTCTCACTCAAGGCATCTAGTGCAGCAGGGGTTCACATACAGTAGTTCTTGGCCTAATCGTTGTTTTTAACTACTCTCCCACCTAGGTTGATTTCATCCAGGAGTCGCACGAGTTCTACGAGTTAAAAACTCGTAGAACTCGCTTGTCAAATGACCATTTAAGTTTAGCTAATGCGTATTAAGAAATATCATCTAAATGTACAATATCTGTACATTGTCTATTATTCCATCACGACAATAACAATTACTATCAACACTGCTTACTTGGACTCGAATTCAACCCTGGCCATCAAGCGCAAGCTTGGTGGTCTAGAGGTATGATGCCAGGCTAGTGATCTGGAGATCGTGGGTTGGAGTCCCACCGAGAACAACTTGCGATTTTTTTTTCGCAGTTGTTTTCAAATGTACTGAGTATTCGGTACATTTCCACGTCAGGTAGGGCAAAAATTACACCTATATATGTACAATAAATCATGAAAATCAAAGATCAGGTCTTTAGTGTATTTCTTTTTCTTGCATGTCAAATGCCATTTCTTTTCCAACTGAATCCCACATACTCTTGAAGAGCAGTTTGTGGTAATGTGAAATTATAAGTTTTAAGCTTCAAATCGACCTCTGAAACAAGCAAACGTAATATTCGTAAATGCAGGGAACAGTTAAATTACAGTAATTTAACTGTTCCCTGGTAAATGTTAGCCCTTGATAACATGTCCGGAGGGAGGGGGTGAGGCCGGGCCCCCACTTTTTGGCAGAAAATATATAATATCCGGAGGTTTTTGTATGATCGGAAAGAAAATGTTTACCCAGTCCCCGACCGAGTTACATTTTCTTGATTCACACTGGTGGATCTGGTGGTCAGGGGCCCTGATTCCCCTCCCTTGGGCAAAAAATAAAAAGAATACTAGACCTACATTTTCAGGAACCATAAGCTAATTTTTTTTTTTTTTTTTTTTTACAATAAGAAAATTAGAACATTTCCCGCCATATAGGAATCAAAATTTTCTCGGGGGAGGACCCCCGACCCCTTTTTATTTTTGGGGTTCATTTATGGAAAAAAGAATATGTAAGCAAAGTGTGTACACCGGTACACATAATAGGCCATTTACTGTAATAAGAATGAGAAAAATTTACCTGACCATTTTCAATGGGGAAAACCTTGAATTTTTAAGAACTTAAGAAGTCATTTAAAGACACTTCAGAAGTCGGGAAAGCTCATTTCCCACCATTTAGAAATCAACTTTTTCCCGCGGAGAACCCGAAATCCCCTTTCTATTTGGGGTTCATTGATTCATTGAATCGTTTTCAAGAGGGTAATAACCTTGAATTTTTAAGAACTTAAAGGTCATTAAAAGACACCTTAGAAGTCGAGAAAGCTCATTTCCCGCCATCTAGGAATCAACATTTTCCCACTGGAGGACTACTGGAACCCCTTTTGGGAGTTATTGATTCAGCTTCACAATTTTCATCAAGAGTAGGGCCTATTTAAAATACGTTTTCGAAGTAAGAGTGCAGTTTCAGGACGTCTATGATTATTTTTCTGCACTTTTCAGTATGGTCGATTGAAAAATAATAATTTGGACCATACTCAAAAGGAAAATTTTTTTTCAACCATGATGGAAGCTCATAAGTAAGTTACATTTTAAACATTTATTCACCCTTTTTCAATTGTACATTGTGATCATCATTATTATTATCATTCTCGTAATTCTCGTTCATAATCATCGTCAAGAATATTTTTAAAACATTTATTTATAAAATAAGAGTGTAATTTCCCGGCATTTTTTCACTTCAGCGCTAACCTTTGTGTTCTTTAAGTACGTCCCCTAACTTCGACGCCCTTGATTGTGTATCGAAGTTTATCGATTTTTTTTGTCTCCAAATTCGTCAAAAATGCTAACATTTATTATTTAGTATTTTTATAAAGAAGGGATCAGGACCCCTGACCTTCCCCCACCTCAGATTCGCCAATGCTCAGATTAACGGTAATAAAATTATCGTAACTATTGCTCTTGCAGCGATAACTTTCCCTCCTTTTTTTTCTTATTATTTTACAAAAACATGAGACACGCCAAAATATGGTAATGATGTCAAATGCACATCATGACTATAATGGGCATACAACAGTATCGAACTAAGCTACAAAACGGAAAGATTTGCTATGGAATTCATCAACAATTTAAACAAAAAAACAAAAACACGTTGAATTAAAACTTCGTCCTTTATTCAAGGGGTTGTTCTACAACCATTATTTATTTTATTTATTTATTTATTTTTTGCAGAAAACAATTAAGTTCCAAATAATTACTAGTTAAAAGGAACTTTAGTTAACAAACAACCCATAATTAAACAATATAAAGTTAACACAAAAGAGACGGTTGCTAAAAACATAGGTTAATTCAATGATACAGCTATATACACTATAATACGTAAATCAATAAAACATAACATTATAATAATCAGTACAAAATTATAAGCAAAATACAGTAGAACCCATATTAAGGAGACACCTTCGGGACCAAAAGTGTCCCCTTAATAGGGGTGTACCCCATATAGGGGTTGGCAGTAGTGTTAAAAGATATACTTCCCTCGTTTAGTGCCCAAAAACGTGTCCCCTTAATAGGGTGTCCCTTGTGTCCCCAAGGAGGGGGTTCTATGGTAGTCAAAACACTTGCAATTCATTCGCTAAGTATAAACAACATTTCGAATAATAGGAAGTATTAGAACGGAAATTGTATTAAGTATGACGTCATCAGCTAGTATATTGTCGATCCCTATTAACTTTCAAAATTTATTTAACATTGACAAATCAATATAGATCACAGATTCCTTTAAATTTAGCGAAGTTTTCACAGTGTATGGTTACAGGTAATAAGGACAATTAGGATTAAACTTTAAAAGGAATGTAGTTCATTGGTTGGTCACATAAACTTATATTAAAAGTCATTGTTGGAATATTGTTGCGTGAAAAGAGCCTAACATACAGTTTGCCCTCCGATTCGGACCGTACCTGAAAATGTGGGTCGGCCTCGTGGGATCAGTCTCGAATTACAGGGTTAGCTATGTGTTAAAACATTGAAGATTGTTATTTTGTTAATTGATAAAAGGTTGTCTCGAATTGGAGGGTGCACTGTCCTATATTCCTGAACTAATAATACACTTGTTTTATCTTGTACGGTATTTTCAGTGAATAGTAACCAATTAATGATTTGAATCTTGTGAGAAAAAGGAGTGAGTAAAAATGATGATAGTCGACAATAAGCAATTTATTCGGGCCCCAGGCAAGGTTACATGACCATGATGAATGGATTGCCGACAAAAATCACGTGTAAAGAGGAATACATGTATTTTATGATATTTGGACACTTCATAATATCCAGGGGCGGATCCATCCCATTTTGCAATTATTCTTATGATTTCAATACATAACACTGGCATGTATGAAATATGAAGAAACAATAAAATACAGATACAAAATGTTCCAATAGGCCCGGTATCGTTATTATACCACTGACAGTAGCTGTTAACACTCCCCACTTATCTATTCTGATAATTTAGTACGGTATTCCCCACCCCCGTTTGATAAATTCTGGATCCGCCCCTGATATCTCTATCACATTGTTACTATATGAAGAATACTAGAGCGCTCCCATTGATTACGCGACATTGAAATTACACAAATCAACTGATGTTGGTAGTCTGAGTGTAATACCTGGATAAACCGACTATAGGCCTATACGACATGGGTGCCAAAGAAAGGATCGCATTGTGCCAAAGACGGACGGTTCTGTTTTTCGTGGGGGTGTTCATTTAAGGAATAATGGCAATAATCGGTTTATCCAGCGAAACTAACGCCTTTAAATAAAAACGGCAATATACCAAAACGGTATAACCAAAACGACACACTGCAAACTAACAAGTATCAAAACGGCATACAAGAGAAACGCGCCACATCAATGCAAAGAAGGCCAATGCCTGATAACACAGCAAAATATAAAACATCAGGGGCCTAAAGCTTTCTCTGTTGTAGACAGACCTATTTTTACAAACCTGATCAGAAACAGGCCTTTATAAAACATGCGGCAAGATTAGTTAGGGTGAATGAAGGTCTATTGGGCCATTTTTGTTAGAAAAGTGTTCTGGCCGTTTTGGCTGCCATTTTCATGACGAAAGTATTGTATATTAATTCACACAAGGAGAAAAAAAAAACCCGACCGGCACCGTCCGCCGTTCTGAACGTTCGAAGTAGTGGCGAAGTGCCGGGTATAGAAGTGCTCACATTTACACTCCGGTTCCAGTCCGGTTTTTTCCTTAAAGTGAAAGTTGCTTTAGACGTACGTGGCCAACAAATCCAACGCCGATCTGTGGGCTATCGTGTCTGAGCGAATTCATCGTAAAAAACGATCCGTCGTCGTCTGCCTCTCTTCGCGCCGTTGCAGTCTCCATTATATCGCGTTGGCGATGCAATGTCCGCCCGCCTTTATAGGGTTAGCACTCTGGTATTCTCTTTTTATATAACTTTATGAATCTTTCCTAATAGCATTTCAACCTCATAACATTTTCCGAGAATTTTCCCTTTCCTATACGAGCTTTTTTACCACTCTTTTTCTTCAAAATGTAGTATGCATCGTTGCTTATTAGAACAATCCGATCTGAAAATACACAAAAATAGTTGACAGCGTTAGAGTAATGAATAATAATTAGCTACATACCTTCGAATTATATTCCCGCTAACATTCAACGGGTAATAACATAAGCATGAACCATGGAGGTATACCTCCATGCATGAACGGGCCCAAAATGTCCAAAACGAAAGTTGTGGTGGTTACAAGATCAGCTGGCCTTGTTCATCCATGGGTCAACCACAGACAACGAAAAGGGTAATTAAATAATTGGGTTAAACGACCTTCATGTGATGAATCTTTCCGACCTTCATGTGATGAATCAAGTTTAACAACTGACCAATCAGAACATCGCTAAGAATACGCGCTTGTCCCACAAACACACATGTGTCCCACAAATGCACGTACTTACGGACGCTATCTATTTGTGGGACCTTAGCAACGATATCCAAGGTGCAGGACATAACGGAATGGTCCATTTCCAAGCTGACTGAAATCTTAAATTTAATTATCTATACTTACGGTTTACATAAAATGCTGCAGTAACACTTGTCGGAGCTCCTAACCACAGTTTTGAAGTGGTAGTTGGATAACCACTATCAACCCGTTTTAGCCTCTCATCAAACCGCCATACAAATGGTCCTTTAAAGAAATATGTCTTTTTTGTTTTCGGTATTGCCATTACCGCGTCAATGCCATCACGTGGTACGCGTGGATATCGCAAGTATATTGGTTGTTTCCATTTACTAAGATAAAAGTCAGAATATTCATAGTAGTGTGAACCTGCGAACAAAAAGTATGGAGATGTAAATCGATGACGTAATAGGTACTAGATGACGTAATGATTATTTGACATGGTTACTTATTAAGTCAAAAATGATTATACAGTGATGACGTTTTGTGTATCCATTTCTGTAGTATTGATTACACATTGATGACGTAGTTACTGATATTCGTTCAAATAATGGCGATAATAGAAAGTTTTCAAAATCGCAACGATGACATATCTCTTTGACTATGTAAATTAGCTAAACTGTCCTAGGTTTTAAAAAGCGGCAAAAAGAAAGTCTGCTAGTTAATTGACGTAAGAGGAATGAAAAACAATGCTAGCCGTCTTGAACAATATTTTTAAGAACCTTCGTGTATAACTGTAACTGTGAGTATTATGATATAACGATGGCCCGCTTTAGTTAAGTCTTATGAACAACTTTTGTTTATATTAAAAAGAGAATTTGTCATGGATAATTATTTTATAATCATAAATATCATTATTCTAATAACTTTATAAATTAATAATATTTGAATGTATGTGCGTCAAATAGAGAAAATTCGTTGGACCATTATAATGTTTTGCTTTACAGCAAAGTTTTCTCTGAGGTGGACAGATGTCACAAGATGTCTACTTTAAAGTGTGATGACGAAGGAGGCCCTGCAAATAATTCCCTGATTAAAGAGTCTAGACATGTTGAACGGTATAACCTTGGATAAACATAGTTATATCTTCGAAAGGTCTATGACTTAACTTCAAAATTCGTTCTTGTGTGTTCATGATAGAAAATTTCCCCCGGAGGTTGTGTCCCACCCGTATAGGCCTAATATAGACACACCCGAATCATTGTTGTCAGCGAGATACGCACTTTTGGGGTTGAATGTAGACCTACACAATTCTTTAAAAACTTAACCTTGAACGTGTTTTTATCAATATATATTAAAGAGGCACTCATGTGCACAATTTCCAGTTTATCTAAAAGATTAGCCCTCTTAGATAAATGAACTAATGTGATGCTTTATAAAGTCTCGTGGTGCATAGGAAGTAATATTTGTTTTAGATTTTAACCCATGACCTGAGATGCAAGTACCTTACTACACTACAGCCTCATCTCCAATAACATTGCAAGATTTGAACCCAGTACCATGGAATTGAAAAGGGAGGGATCTTAACCACCAAGCTACAGCTCCACTCCATTAACGTTGCAGGACCATAGGACTGGAAGGCAAGCATCTTACACCAAACTACAGCCTCACTTTATCAACACTGAAGGATTTGAACCTAGGACCCTGGGAATAGAAGTAAAGCATCTTAACAACCAAGCTGTCTTTTATGTAAACCGATTATTACAGTTATGGGTGACATGTTAATAAACTTTAACGTACGGTACCTTTAAAAAATATTAGTTTTCCGTCCGTCGGTCGTTCATATGCAGCATCGAGTGATTGTGGAAGAAGTCGAAAAACTGTAGAACCCACGTGACCTTCTTGTGGACTAACCAGTTTACCCTTTGAAGATACCCTCCAAAAATGAGTATTCTAAAGAATGAGAAAGACAATCATAATCAGTGGTGTATCTAGAAGTCTTGAGATGGTGATGGGGCGAGTGTGAAAGGGGGCCTCAATGAATAAGGGGGAGCAGGCTCGCAAAATAAGGGGATGTGAGGTTAATTTTAACTACTTGAGTGTAACTCTTTTGCTTTTTATGAGGTGTGGGGGTGGGGCCTACTGGGGAAATTCCCCCTGCCTCGCACTCTTAGATACACCACTGAAGATAATATGGTTTGACATAACCTGGAGGAAGAAACAAGATAATAGCAGCAGCGTTTGGCCAAGTGGAGACGTACAAGCTTCATGCAGTTGTAGACCCGGTTTCATGTATCGGCTAAGAATCAACCTTTAGGTCTAAACGCTCAGCTCCTCAGCTTAACCTTAAAAGAGAGTAAGCCGGGCTATGTATCCGTACGGAGCGTTACAATTAAAGTTAATTGATAGTTTAAACTACAAACCAGTTTGGAATAGTTATTTAGACAATACATTATCATAGATTACAGTAATTTCCTTCTGTCATACTTACATCAAAACTAAATAATTCGCCCCTGATTGTCAGTGTGGCATCAAATCCTGGATTGCAAAATGCCTTTTTTACTCTTACTACCTTTTTTTCAGGATTTGGTCCTGAAATAGCAAAAAAAAAAACCAATTCATTAACATGTTTAATGCCAAAGAACCTTGTGAAAAAACTACCCTTTTTCAGGATTTGGTCCTGAAATAGCAAAAAAAACAAAAAAAAAAACAATTCATTAACATGTTTTAATGCCAAAGAACCTCGTGAAAAAAGGGTATAAGCATTGTCATAAAATTCGTTGCAATTATTTAAGTTTTAAGTTTTAATTTCTCTATAAAAATTCATTAAGACTTCTTATAAAACTAAGAACTTTAGTGGCAATGCAATACTCGTTGTTGTAGGTCTAGCACTTTAAATTTATCAGAAAATTTATTTACTTTTGTTTATATTGCACATTAATACTTATAAAAATAAATCATGCATCTTGTGTGGTCAATCATATTAAACTGATTTTATTCAAGTTAAGTACAAATATAACTCGTATTATATGTTATTGCTATCTTTAGATCATTAGTGCAATTCGGAACAGCATTATGAAATATTTACAACTAATATTATTCTTTCCTTTAATATTATGCGGATCCTTGTAGCGCCCTATATATTGTGTCACTCACTACTTTTGTTTAATGCGTCTAATGTTTGATAGGTCTATAGACTAATTGGGTCGAATATAAAGTTTTAAACAAATCCAACTGCGTTAACTCTCAAAAAGGAACGAGTGATGTTTCTGACACTATCTCTTTATAACAGGAAACGAACAAGTTCAATGATAGAGCATTCACGTACACATAGGAAGCAATATTGTCCCTATAAATCATAAGTCCCATTACCTCTTCTCTTATAAACACCGGCCAATATCGCTAGTTTCCTATGCAAACACACGATCGGCGAAGTCCTGATGAGTGGGCTATGATTATACCAGCTTTAACATACCACCAAATTTATAATGGTGGTGTTATTGATAGGCCTATTTAGATCGTGTATAAATCAAAATTTCTATTCAACATTAACATACGACAATGTTTACCAATGTCTTAGGTGGTAATATATCATTCAGATACAACAAAGCATTATAAAAAGCGAGCAGATTGAGACGTGTGGACGTGAGAGCACGCTCGCGCGGAGGAACATTAACGACATAATACCGTACATTGTAACGAGGTGATAATCAAGTCCGTGTAAAATTAAGGGCACTGTCTCGCATGATGTACGTAAGTTCGTCTGGACATGCAATTTATTTGGAGATTAATTTTTCTTATAGAATTAATAAACTATAAATAGGCCTATATATATTTTTATAACGAGCATGATTAAGCAAATCTTTGGACGGTTTCTAATTGATTTTGTAGGCCTAAATGTCACTGCACTTACCATAAAGATCTTGAATTCCTGCTATATCGTCTTTGGAAAGTTTATAATTTTGTTGTAATCGCTGGTAATATCTGTACATCAAAGCGTCTGGATTTGTGGAATGAGACAAACCTAATGTGTGGCCGATTTCGTGAGCTAGTACCGTGAATAGATTACGTTTGTAGCCTGAAAATTAAAAGAAAAACATGAAAATAGTATAACTAAGTCAAAAAATACCTATCATTGGACAAGACACAAATTATAAATGCAAACCAATTGTCCCTAATACATGGTACCCTAGATATATTGTGATACTCTTAAGAACATTAATTAATTATTATTGTCAATTCGCCCTGTAAACCTTTAAAACATATTAATCGTCTCAAGACTCATCTCTTTAGTTTATTTTAATTTGCAAATTTCTAGCGCATAGAGACCTATGTATTTTGCGCTTTACAAATCCAAATTATTATTATTATTATTATTAGTTCAGAAGCTGGAAGTGGTGTTATGCATAAATTACTGTTTTAGAGAGGGCGGTGTTCAATGCAACTGAATTTCTGAAGAATAATGTTAACATGAACGTAAAGCATGGCCATATTTTCTTTAATAATACGGGTTTAATACACAAAAAATAAAAATAAAAATAAATAAAAATTATTTTGACGGCTAAATAATTCAGTCGTTTAAGATATGATAGGATAAGATAAGATTGGTCCAAAAATTGCTTTGGAAATTTGCTTTTTATTGGCACAAGACAAGTTTATAACAATATAAAATAGAAGGTAGGGCCTAACTGGAGCAAGCTGGTAATTTTAGTTAATTAGTTTAGTTAATAGTTAATTAGTTTAGTTTATAGTTTTTCTATAGGGCCCTACTCTTGCATTTCACTTGTACTCGCGCGAATAAGCGTCCGGGCGCTTAAAATATTTTTTGAACTTTTTGAGGGGCGCTTAATTAAACGGGGCGCTTATGAAAACAAAAATTGAGGAGGAGCTTATGGAAATAGATGAAAATTTAGGGTCTTCTTATGGGAACCGGAAAAAGATTATAAGGATATACGGAAACCGACGGTAAACGAATGGTTCTGGTGCAGAAAAGATACGGTAATCGTCCAGAAAGCAGGCTCATGACAAGAATGTTGTGAGTATTTACACATAGATGAAATTATTGGTGGTGGTGGTGGCTGTCGGGGGAGATAAAAGAGTAAGACTGGACAAATGTAAGAAGAGGAAAGTTGGAAAGATCCAGGAAGTTCTCATCTGTCAAGGAGAAAAATCCTCACTTTGAAATTGACATATTGTAAGAAGAAAATATAAATCCACTCAGCTCAAATCATGCCAACCACAGTCTCAGGATTGGTTGGATTATTGGCTTGCTAAAAAAATCACATGACATTGTTGAGGGGCGCTTAACAAAATGTTCATGTTATGAGGGGCGCTTATTCGATAGGGGCGCTTACGCGAGTACGGTATTGTGTTTGTTTGCAGACCCGATAATTCTTATTCTCGTATAATACGTTATTTTGAGTATTATTAAAAAAAGAAAAAAAACCCAAAAAAACATTAGGTCTAATGCAGGTTAGCAGAGGCACAAAGGAAAACACGATAATTATATTCTATTTTGGGCTATTAGGCGATCAAACCCACAGGTTATGCCATGAGAAATGAGCTTGATCCGCTGGGGGAATTCTTAATATTAAGGTATATATTTAAAAATAGCAGTATAGGTCTGTGAAAGTGAATCTGTTTTCAATCTATATGAGGATTATAATGTCTTCATCTGAAAAGTGTTTGAATGAAAGTAATCTATTTACAATTTTATGGTCTTTATTTTCAACAATAACAGTAACATAAGTCAGTACTTTTTTTTTTTTGCTTTATGTTGGTATTACATGAAAATACTTGAATCTTTAAAAACGAAGCTAATCGTTTAAATTGGGAATCGAACTCGAGACCATCCGACTCTCTCAGGTTCAACATTATTGTCTCGAACTGTAGGCCTGTACATCCTATTAGAATATTTCACAAATTTCCACAATTTTGGATTTATGCTATTTATCACTTGTTCATAGTTGAGAGTATAACATTTATATTATGAAGGCCATAGTTGCTATATGAAGTACTATAGTACAGCACTTAGCGAATCAGACAAATAACATACGAATACATGCATTGTCGATTATCAGGAAACGCATGAATCAAAGGTGTATAGTTACAGTAACTTTATATATACACAAGTGAATATTAAAAACAGTCCTCACATATTGAAAAAAATGTTATAATGAAGCATAACAATTCAATGAAATTTTCTATATCCATTGTGTGTATCCGACAAGACTCGAACCTGCAATCTCTCGCTCAATCTCTGATCATCATATACGCAGGTGCATTGATGGTGTATAGCAATGTCATATTAGATAATAGTACAAAACTACCGTATTTATTCCCACCCCGACCTAAATGACTGTAAACAAATATAATGGGAGCAATGTCATTCTCAACACATTCTTTTAATATTCTAGAATCTAGAATTACATTTTTGTTTAACCTGTTCGGGGTAAATAAGTCTTTTTGATCATACAATAACACATTTTTACGGTAATTATGTGTTGTAGTTCCACATTTACAGTGAAATTAAGGGGTTTTTATTTGAGTAGGCCTATATTACGTGTAGGTCTATCCATTTTACACACACAAAAAAATAAACGCCTCCATTGAATACTATACTACTACTAAAAATAAACACCCCTGCTCGCTTATTCGAATAAGTACAGTATTTCATAAGCCATTTTATTCACTTATATATTTATCTTCTATATATACTCGATTGTTTTAACCACAGTTTCTGGTTTTAATAATGGGTTTCCTTCCGAACGTAGGCCTATTGATTTTTAGACAACCATCATGCAAATAATGCAGTCGGTATTTTTGAAATAAATAACACCTAAAATAAAAATTTGGATATTAAACAATCATGATATTTACCACTTGGTTTATATTTAGTCCAATATTCTTCGCCATCAAAATGTATATCACCATTCAGGTCCTTATAACCACCCATCAAGTGGTACGCATGCGCCAGCTCATTCCCAGGTCCGTCGAATTTCATACGATCTCCATGCGCCCTCGCAGCAAATTTAATGACAGTGTCTGCTTTACCGTTTATGCCTACTTCCTTAAATTCTAAAGGTGTTGCGTCACTCCATAATTTATATGCTGCAGCAACTATGCGCCGGGTGTCGCTTTGACTCATGTCTGTTCTCCATGGATAAGATCCAATTCTATTAAAAAGGAAAACAATTTTTTTGTGGTAATTAATGTATCTCCATTAACGAGTTACATTGATTCGCTCTGTACCGGCAATTTTTAAATATATAAATATTTATATTTTTGAAAATATTAAATATAATTCTAATATAATCATTTGTTTTCAACGAGACAATTAAAAGAGAACTAGCAAAATTATTTTTTGTTCTAGAGTGGATTTTTGATATGCCATTAATGATAGAATCAACCTTAAAATCGTTTTTTGGCTATTTTTTATGAAGTTATAGGCGATTATATACGATTTTACCATGACGTCACTGACGAAAATGTAACAAAAGATCGTGTAAATAGCGCCGCGTAGGGTATTCACCGCGTAGGGGTATCCGCCGCGTATGATCTTTGCGTGCATGCTGTAACAATCACAATTTACAGCCACGGTGTACCTAAATACAACGGTGGGGGAAAACTAGAAGATGTAACAGCAGTATGTTCTATTAACTTAAAATTTGTACTCGGTAAAATGGGTTGTACTGAGCCGATTTTCACATTCAAAAGTCGATATAAGGTGCTAGATTTTTGGAAAGAAAATAATGAAATTATGTCTCTAAATAGAAGTTCATATACATCAGCCGAATGTAGTACAATTGTTTATCAGTGTGATTAATCTGCTCAATAAACAATTTTAATTACTTGTGCAAATACAAAGATGTGGGTAACCGACATCTTTATATACGACTTTTCATTGATCTCGACCTGCTATGTAGGCACTCTTTAGGCTAGACGCGCATAGACGGTTGGAACCGGACGATCGAAGAAAAACTGTTAAGCAAGCCAAGGACTTCGCTAACTTCCATTCCTCAGTATTCAGGGGCGGATCCAGAAATGTCCAAAAGGGGGGGGCCGGAAGCGGGGGCCGAAAGTTGGGCCGATTGAGACAACACTGTCGTAGGGGGTCTGGGGCATGCCCCCGCGAAATTTTTGTGTTCTAGACGCCCGAACATAACATTTGAGGCATTCTTGGCTATCATTTTTTTCTTTTTCTCTCTTTTTTTTCTTTTTTCTTCTTTTTTTTACCTCCCGGGCCGGCCCCCCCTAAATCCGCCCCTGGTATTAAAATCCTTCCATTCATGGGCACTGTCTAAAACTTTCTTCCAGCTTATCTCTGAAAAGATTGTAACCTTTTCGTCTGCAGTTGGCTCAACATGAATTACACAGGAGCCAGTGAGCTTCCATGACGGCCTAGGCTCGGACATGACACGTTGTTGTTTGTTGTTATTTCGCGACGTCATCAACGAGTAAAATACTGTACATTCATTATCCACTATCAACTAAACTGCCTTAAAGGAAAAAAAATCGGTTCGTGTGGGAATCGAACACACAACCTCCATGTTTGCTAATCATCCACCAATCAACTAAACTGCCTTTAGACAAAAAAAAAAAAAAAAAAAAAAAAAAAAAACTGGCTCGTGTGGGAATCGAACCCACGACCTACTTTCAAAAAAAAAAAAAAATAAACAAAAAAAAATTTAAAAAAAAACTTGCCCCGTGTGGGAATCGAACCCACGATCGCAGAGTTTACTACTCCTGATCCAGCATGACTAAACGGAGGGAGATAAACCGCGACCCCTAAACCATAAATGCGATAAACCAAGTACCACACCAAGTACCAGTTAGTCAACTCTAATCCTACTAGAAAAAATTCTTTGTATATATACACTCTAGGTTAATATTACGCATGGGTCATGGTGTCAAAAATGGGCCATGGGCCAAGAGGGTTTATTTTTTTGTCTAAAAATGTAGAATTAAATTTATAATCGATTTTTGATTGTTACCATCTCCATAACTTACGCACTTTTTTTTAAATAGACAAAAATGTTTGAAAATTTCATTATGCAAATTAGAAAAAAATAGACTAATCATGTTACGGGAAACTTGGTGGTCGTGTGTTCAATTCCCACACGAACCATTTTTTTTTTTTTTTTTTTTTTTT